AGGCTGCAGTGAGCCAAGACTGCACTACTGCACTCCAGCCTGGGCGACAGAGTGAGATCCTGTCTCCAAAAACAAAAAAAAAGACAGTATGAAAATCCTAATTATTCAATGGATGGCACTAAGAAGACTGGCCAATCATTTGGTAAGAAAAACTTACATCTTTGAAATAAATGACAAAATACATTCCTGATGGGTTAAAAAAATAAGTTTAAAAAATGAAATCATGAAAATACTAGATATAGACGATTATTTATACAATTTTGAGTAGAGGAAGATTTTTCTTTAAACCTGACACCAAAGATAGAAAAACTATGAAGAAAAAAATTCTGCTATGCAAATTACACAAAATGGAAAACTAGACAACAAACAAAAAAAAGAATTACAATCAAAACCAGAGTATACAACACAGTAGGGGGAAACACTGCAATAGATTGGACAAAAAGTCCTTAATATGTAAATCACCTGTAAATATTAATAGGAAAAGAATGAACATGCTAGAAAAATAGGCAAAAGGCACAAAGCAATAATCCACAGAAGAAGGAATTAGAATGGTCAATTAACATATGAAAAAATATTCAATCTGACCCCCCTAAAAAACAAAGAAATTAGAATTCACATAAAATCTTTTGTTATCTAATGTACAAATAACGTTAAAAGTTGGCAGTGTTAACTCTATTAGTGTAGAGGGGAAAATCACAATCTTATAATACTAGTAAAGTGTAAATTAGTACATTTCTGGGCAATAATTTGACAGACTGTACCAAGAGCTTTAAAAAATATTCATTGCTTTTGAAAGAACAAGTCAATTTTCAGCCACTCAAAAGGTAATTGTGGATGTATGACGGGCTTTTACCCCAAAGACATTCATCAGTGTTGCTTAGAACAACAAAACACTAGGAACGACATAAATATCCAACAACAGAGAATGGTTTATCTTCCTACAATGTAATAATACAATGGAATTCCTATAAAAGGATATGAAGAAATGTATACACTTAATTATATATATGTATTTTTGACGAAAGATTGGAAAGATATACTCTAAAACGTCAGCAGTGGTTCTCTCTGGATATATGGGTGTGTGTTTTTCCGGCTTATCTGCTTGTTGAAAGAAGAAACTTGATTATTTTGTAAAAAGAATAAAAGTCATATTGAAACACCTACTGTTATTGGAAACTTTTCACATTTAAAGTGACTTTCTAAAGAGCTGTTCCACGTCTCCATCTGACTACGATACATTCATTACATTTTTCTTTCGTTTTTCACTTCCTTAGTCCTGTTTGTTATAACAGCAATACTGTGACTAAGACGCTGTTTCTCACAAGCGCCTCCGCCTGGCAGGCTCCATTTTTCTCCTTTCCATTTACTTCAAAATCAACAAGTCCCAGTTGACTTGGAGCCTGAAGGGACACAGGACAGGAAGTTAACAAGTGGATGAAGCTGCACAGAAGTAATTCAGAGGAAAGATGAATGCCAGCCAGACAGAAGGTCTGACCACAACCAACCAGAAACGCCCAAAGGGATTTCCATTCCAAAGGACAAAAGCATCTTAGCACCGTGGAGCTCTCTATTATTTTAAGTACTGACATATCACTAAGGCTGGAGAAAAAAAATGGATGGTGGAGCCAGTTGCAAGAGTTAAGTTTTAAAGTCAGCAAAGGATCAATCACCTATCAACAAAAAAACACCATAAACACCCTTTAAATCACCAGTGAAGCAGAGAAATACCATCTCTCCACAGGTCCCACGCAGCCAAGTCTAGCCGCCCACACTGGACGGGCTGATCTTTCTTTTGCTGAGCACCAGACGATAAACAAGGAGCATTCAACATCCTACGCAGACTCAGCACGGGGGCACCGGGGACAGGAGGCCGACCAGTGGAAGAAGAATTTCCAGGACTCCTTTCTAAGGCCCACTTGCGGTCATACGTTCACCAAGTGAGACAGTGGGCACAAGTGCCTTTGCCATTCACCAGCGTTTTCCCCGTTTTTGCTTTTGTTTTGGCAGGGCAGGTAGGTGAATTTGCAGGCATTAAATACAAAATGAAACACTGATGAGGCTGTCTCTGCAGCCAACAAAACAAACCCTGCAAAGTTTCCTTCTTGTTCTGTGTGGCAGTCAGCGAGGGGGCTCCTCACTTCCACGCCATCCCTTGCCGAGTACCGACCCTAAAGTTTGGGACCTCGGCTCCAGAGGCTAAATGGTTTGGGGATGATCCTATTTCTCTTGCCAGTGATTGGTTTGGGAGCAGGCATAGTATATCAGATCTGACCAGGAAGTTTGCTGGAAGATTCTAGGAAAGTTTTTCTTCTGCTCTTAAAAAGAAAGCAAGCCAGGCGTGGTGGCTCATGCCTGTAATCCCAGCACTTTGGGAGGCTGAGGCGGGTGGATCACGAGGTCAGGAGATTGAGAGTATCCTGGCCAACACAGTGAAACCCCGTCCTGTCTCTTATACACATCTAGATGTGTATAAGAGACAGCCTGCAACCTTGAGGGGACCAGCTCTAGGAGAGGCATCTGCAGAGAACAACAGAAAGTAGAAAGAGAAAAATGTGGCGAGCTGGCGAATCATCTAACCTTGAAATCTTCCCCAACTATAGAACGCCTGCTCTGTGAGCTAAAACATTCCATAACTGTTCAATGTAGTTGGGTTTTCTGTTATCTACAGATGAAAGACTCACAAATCAATAAATTACCAGTAGAACAGAACCAGTCTAGATCCCCTCTTGCTATGTATTAAAGTTCTGATATGAGAATATAATTTCTCCGGTAACAGGTAAAAGCATTGGCTGGGGAAGACACGTCACGTGAACACAGGAAAAAGACAGGCGGCCCTCACTCTCCTTTCCTCAGAGATGCCTTTAGACAGAGGCTTTTTCTGGTTCTGGTAAAATTACCTGACTGAGGCAGACTGCGATTCTGCAAATAGAACTTATATCCTCCTGGGGCCTCGGTTTCAAAAACACCTTCTGCGACTTCCGTCAGGGGCCACTCCAGCTTCCTGGCGTTGCTGACAGCCTGGCTAGAAGCGAGCGTGATTCCCTAAAACAAACCACAGTACATCCAAGTACATGATCACAGCAGATATTTTACAGAACAAGACAATGAGCCCAACCCCTACTGCCTACTGCCTTTAGGTAGAATCACCTAAGATTAACTGGCATCCAACATTTTATTCTAGTGATTTAAAAACAGGTTTTCAATGTTTTATCCCACAAACATTCAGCTCTTCATGAATAATAAGACAGAAATTGAAATGCCAGTGAAGTCGGATTCATTTAACACCAAAGATAACCTCTTCTAATTCTAAAGATCTAGCCAGAGAAATCTTGATGCTACCTGGGTCTGCCAGCTAGCTACCTATTTAAGGTGAACTGTTCTTGCTTTTTTAACAAACAAACAAACAAAACAAAAATAAGCAAACTATCAAGGTTTCCTTACATTTAATCAAAGTGTCTAGAAATGGACACCTATGCTTTCTGATAAGACCAGCCTTGTTTCTAGCTTCGATTATTATAATGGCCTCTCTGCCTCCAGTCTTGTAAATCCATTATCCACTCCGCAGCCAAAGTAAACTTTCCAAAACGCATCCTACACTCCACCCCCAGACAGCAGCCAGCCTTGTTTTCCCTTTGCTCAAAGTCCTCCAATGGCTCATTTCTCTCGGATGACTTATGGTCTAGGAGGCCCCCTACAGTCTTACCCCATGGCACTGCTGACCCCATTCTTACCACGTTCCCTCTCATTCTCTGTTCCAGCCACACTGGCTTCCTTACACCTCCTTGAACACTCCAGATGTTACCTGAGGGCTCCTGCACAGGCTATTCTCTGCCTGGAATGCTCGTCCCCAGATACCCACATGGCTAACTCCTTGACCTCTTTTGAGCCTCTGCTCAAATGTTATCTCTTCACTCACACACACCCTCAACACCCTACTCAAACTTACAACCAGCTACCTACCCCCAGCCAAAAATCCGCTAGAAAAAACAGTATTTACCACGAAGTCATTGCCAAGCTTGTAGTCGCCGATGCCGTAATTGTAAGTCAGTTCTGCAACAAAATGATCGTCCTCAGGCCCAAATCCCACCATTGTTTTACTCCATTTCCCATCATAAGGCCTAGAAAATAAAAGTAAATGAACTCAGTGACCATAGACAAATCGGCCTCAGGCCACCCCCAGAGAACTACTGGGCACAGAGAAACGAGCAGTCCTGTCTGGTCCTAAAAGTTCTCTTAAGGATGAGATGACTTCAGATGGTGCAGAAAGCAGCTGTGGGTAGTGCTCATGGGACCCTACTACAAGCTCCTAAGACTATCTATTCAGCATCTACTTGAAGGAAAGATTTGTTCATCTTTTCTGTAAAGCAAGGAACAGAATCCTAAAGACGGTTCTCCAACTGACCTGTTATTTCCTTGACTATCAATCAACAAGTATGGACTTGGACTGTTCCAACTTGTCATGGTACTAAGATTAAGAGATGGCCAGGCGCAGTGGCTCAGGCCTGTAATCCCAGCACTTTGGGAGGCCGAGGCAGGAGGATCACCTGAGGTCAGGAGTTCAAGAGCAGCCTGGCCAACATGGTGAAACCCCGTCTCTACTAAAAATACAAAAATTAGCTGGGTATAGTGGCACGTGCCTGCAGTCCCACGTACTAAGGAGGCTGAGGGAGGAGAACTGCTTGAACCCGGGAGACAGAGGTTGCAGTGAGCCAGGATAATGACCCTGTACTCTCACCTGGGTGACGGAGTAAGACTGTCTCAAAAAAAACAAAGACATTAGAAGCTGCTGCTTCATCCAGAGCATGTATTTGCATTTGTGGCATAATATGCAACATATCTGGTCACTGTCCCCTGTTCCTCTGGAATTTCCTGACGGGAACATCTTTTGTTATTATTTATTTGCATTTGTGGCATAATATGCAACATATCTGGTCACTGTCCCCTGTTCCTCTGGAATTTCCTGATGGGAACATCTGTTGTTATTCACAATAAGCCCCTGTCGGTCACACCCGAGTTTATGCTAGTGAGGAGACTTGGAGTGGGGCCTCTACATAGACTCAGGATGGGGCTGGTCACCAGAAAGACAAATGATTAGAGGACTGGAACTTTCAGTCCCACCCACCAACCTCTGGGAAGGAAAGGGATGGAGACTGGGCTCTATTAGGCTTGAACAACGAGACTTGATGAGCTTCTGGGATGCTGAACGCATGCAGGTGCTGGATTGGAACCTGCCCCAGAACAGCATGGAAGTTCTGCTGCCACTCCCCATGCCCTGCCCTATGTATCTCTTCTGTCCAGCCGTTTCTAACTCGTACCCTTTATAATAAACCAGTAAATGCAAGTGTTTCCAGCGTTTCCCTTCGTTCCACGGGCCACTGCAGTAGATTATCAAACCTGAGGAAGCAGGAGCGGAAAGCCCTGACTTGTAGCTGGTCATCAGAAATCCTGGAGGTCCAGACTGTGACCGGCACTTGACGTGGCGGAAATCTTCTGGGACTCAGCCCTTAACTTGTGGGATCTGACATTAACTCCAGGTAGAGTCAGAATCGGATTAAATAACAGGACAGCCGGCTGGTATTGGAGATCTGGAGAACTGCTTCACGTGCCACAAGTGTTGTATGAGAGTGCAGAGAAAACAGAGTATGTGTTCCCGACATTCCTGAAGTCGCCTCTGCAATTTACTGCCTCCTGAATTAATTCCACTGCTTTATACTCACTTTGAGAAACTGTCTTCTGTTATCCCGGTGTAGTCAGAGCCTAAAGAAGATTTTAAGAAACAAGGTATCATACCCATTGCAGGCGGCTTTGCAGCCTTCTTCAAATTCCTCATGCCGCAGAACCTGGTGTGAGATTTAGAATAAATTGTGAAGTGTTACTAGTATTGTTCACAGCATCTTTAGCACAAACTAAAATGTCAAAACACAGATATTATCACTTGTAAGCTTTACTTGTAAAAGAACAAAAGCAAATGAGCTTTATACTTCTCCCAGGATAGAAGTAGTAGAAGCAAGAACAGTTTGACATCAAGGGTCGGGCTACCAAATCAGTTGTGAAATCTATTTAGATTGGTAAGCAGTGCTATGCAGTGGGAAAGTGCAGCCTTCAGCATTAAAGAAGTCTGATTTGGACCGGGCACAGTGGCTTACATCTGTAATACTAGCACTTTGGGAGATCAAGGCAGGTGGATCGCCTGAGGTCAGGAGTTCAAGATCAACCTGGCAAACATGGTGAAATCCCATCTCAACTGAAAATACAAAAATTAGCCAGGCGAGGTGGCACGTGCCTGTGATCCCAGCTATTCAGGAGGCTGAGGCAGGAGAATCACTTGTACCCGTGAGACGGAGGTTGCAGTGAGCAGAGATCACGCCACTGCACTCCAGCCTGGGTGATGAACAAAATTCCATTTCAAAATGAATTTAAGAAAAGGACGGGCTCTGTGGCTCATGCCTGTCGTCCCGGCACTTTGGGAGGCTGAGGTGGGCAGATCACCTGAGGTCGGGAGTTCGAGACCAGCCTGGCCAACACAGTGAAACCCCGTCTCTACTAAAAATACAAAATCAGCCAGGCGTGGTCATGGGCGTTTGTAATCCCAGCTACTCAGGAGGCTCAGGTAGAAGAATTGTTTGAACACGGGAGGCAGAGGTTGCAGTGAGCTGAGACTGCACCATTACACTCCAGCCTGGGTGACAAGAGCAAAACTCAATCTCAAAAAAAAAAAGCAAAGAGTCTGATTTGGAATTCCGTCATTTAGTAGTTGTGTAACTCTGAGCAAGTTAGAATCTGAGTCTCAGTCTCCTAACATGTGATGGGAATGGAAGTTATTAAAGCATCTCACAGAACCCTGCACACAGCAGGCTCTCGATGTGTTAGCTTTAGTCTTCCTTTTTGATTTCCACAGCTCCTGCCAGTTCAAGTTCCCAATGCTCTGCTCAGACTATTAAAAATCATCCTTATTGATATCCTTCCTTAAT